GAACTGAGCCTTGTTGGAACAAGCGACCAGAAAGCCGATGCTTTCACAAAAGCAGTCGAGCCTGCATTATGGCCCAAAACCCTCCAAAACCTTGGAGTGCACCTCGATGGTTACACCATCAGGCACACATCAGGCACTGGCCTGAAATTGGACAAGCAAATGGCTTTGCAGCCAGATACACCAACGACAGATGTAGCGACAGGACCTCAGGGCACGACAGGCCCTACCCAGCCAGGGTACAAGAAACGGCAGAAACACAAGCCGAAGAGAATACCCATACAGTGTGCCACAGAGCCTTTCTGATACAGCTGGATAGCCCGGGGTTCAGAACTGATCCCAAGCCGTCGAGCAGCTCAGGAGTCAGAGGGGGGAGATGAAATCCCTCAGCTAAAACAACCTCCAGATGAACTGAGCGTAAGTGAGAGGCTTGCATGCTTACATGTATAGCTTGGTAAGAGGAACTAGGACCACTTTGTCCCAAGTATGGAATTACCATGTAAAGAGTTGCATAGTCTGAAATCGGTATGCTAAAGTAGCATTGCCGTTGCGAACTGAGAGACAGATCGCCAACTACGTTTGGCTCAAGACTTGGAAAAGGTGCAAGGGTTGCGTTGCATGTCGATCGTCATATCGTCCGCTGCCTTTGCATAGGAAAAGCCAGGTGTCAGAGTTTCAACTGAAAATAAAATGTTTATATTCTTATTGAAGGAAACCATTTAGGGACAGTTCGCTTCAATCCGCATAAGTCGCTAATTAGTTTGATTTGCGATGGACTTGCCCCACCCAGTGTTTGACGACTGCCAAGTTGAATTCATATAGACAGTGTTCCCCCCAAAGCACTATAATTAGATTTTGCTATTGTAATATCTAATTATAGTTAAACACCTAAATACATATATAGTATGACACTTTCTGAATACGACGCTTACATAACGGCAATAGATGATATGGAAACCAGAATTACTGATGATGATAAATACCCCGTTGTCAAAGACTATAAAATAAAACACTGTTGTAAATACACGCTTGAAGTGTCAAAATTGATAATTACATGTCTAAAATTTAATATAAATGCCTCGCAAAAAGGGAAATCCAAAGATGAATACAACACCCATACCCGAAGATTTTGAACTATCGGATGAAGAACCAACAATGATAAACTGGATGAAGAACAACAACTGAAGAGCAAGTTTATCACCTTTGACTGTCCTTTATGCCACGGAAAACTACAATTACAAAACACTATAGAAATCAACCCGAAGGGGATAAAATGTAGTTGTAATCCGTGTAGTTTCAAAATATCAAAGAGTGATAAGACTATGAACGTGAGTAGAGATGACAACGGAGACATCAAACTGGATAGTGAAGCACATAGTATATCCTTTTCTTGGAACAGACAAATCACACCAGAAGACAAAGACAAGGAAAGCACAAATAGGATGATTACCGATGTAATGAATTCAACCCCAAGAAGTGAGAAAAAACAATCATCAATACAGGATATGGATTAATAAATATCTAAATAACTATTTGTTTAAATAAATAAACATATAAATAAATATATAAATATATGAGTGATATGGATGAGAACACCGATAAACTGATGGAACTGACAAACAAACTGAACAAATGTAATAAGAACATCAAAACCATAATGGAGACTTTGAAGACCATTGAGGGGAAACTCACTGAACCTAAAAAGGAAGAAAAGATTGATAAAATCTTTGAAAAGAAGAAGATGGGAAGACCCGTCGGTTCGTGGGATGAGAAGAGGAAACAATACTTGGAGTGGATTAACAAAGGTAAAATCACTCAACCTAAAGAGCAGACGCTTGAATTCTACCAAATCGTTCAGGATACTGAAACGGATAAGTATATTTTGATGTGATACGTTCATATTAAAATCTACAGAGTTTTAATATGAAACTATTGGAGTTATTCAATGGAACAGCTAGTGTTGGTAGAGTTGCCCGTGAATTTGGTTTTAGTGTCATATCCTTAGATTTGAAGAACGCTAACATTAATGAAGATATATTACAATGGGACTATAAGAAGTATGACAAAGACTTTGACATAATTTGGGCGTCGCCTCCTTGTACTGAATATAGCAGAGCAAAAACAACATGTATTAGAAGAATAGATTATGCCAACAGCATCGTTAAGAAAACCATTGAAATCATTAACTACTTTCAACCGAGAGTGTTTTTCATAGAAAATCCGCAAACAGGACTGTTGAAGGAACAGGACTTTATGAAAGACTTTGATTATTATGACGTTGATGATTGTAAATATGGTTTTGAATATAGGAAGCGGACGAGGATATGGAGTAATCTAAAGAGTTGGAAACCCAGACCCTTATGTAAGAAAGACTGTAATAGCATGATAGGCAACAGACACAAAGAGACCGCACAAAGACTACCGTGTAAAGGCAGATGGAACGAACAGAGGAAGAAAACACAGGATGAACTATACAGAATACCGGAAGAATTGATATATGATATTTTTTTAAACCTTTAGTATCTCGTGTCTAAGGAAGGGTTTAGTCAATCCTTCCAGTTTGAAGGTTCTGTTTCCAGTCGTGTCGTATTCTATCTTCCTTCTATCTTCCTGACTTTGTAGTTCTCTTTAGACCATTTGCTGGTTGTCTCCTTCCTATCCGTGTAGTTGCCTCTTCCCTTGCTAAAGATTTTCACTGTATCGTTCCCCTTTATTTCAACATACTTCCTCGTGTTCTTTTCTCTTCTTGTCAGATTTACTTTAACATCCATATGGTTCTTGTCATCGTGCGCTTGGTTGGGTGATAGTTTTGTGGATGAGTGTTTGGTGCTGTTGTATTTCTTCAAGACATAGGGAAGCATACTCGTCCATCCTGCCTTATTAAATCTGACCCTATCATATACCATATTCTTTAAGGTTCTGATAAAACTTTCTACGACGTTGGCATGTGTTAGCGTGATTATGTGATTGATGCCTTCAGCGTCAAAGAACTCTTTAACAACGCTCTTAAAAGCACCGTCGTCATCGGAATATATTGACATACAATAACCCATCTTCTTAAAAGTCTCTTTCAATGCTTTCAATACACTCACCCCATCTTTGTTTCTCATTGGAACGGCATTCCCGAATTTACTGAAAATATCAATGACAACTAATGCATACCTTGGTTCATCATTTTTCAGTGGAATTTTTGCTTCAGGTTCTTTGGTTAAAGGCACCATGTCCATTATATCCATTTGGTATTCGAATCGGGCAAACGGAGCAGTGTAGGAATTATACCCTCTATACTTTCTAATCTGTTTGTTCGGTTGTTTTGCCATAAATTGTTTTACATCTACTGTATTGATTGATGGGTCTTTCTCTTTTGCTTTCTTAAGAGTTTCCTGAACAGACCCGAAACCTTCATTGACATCATAATAAACATTACTTATAATATCAAATTTTGTTAATCGTCTTGCCATATTATACTTTTAGAAAAAAAACAGTTTAAAGAATAAATACATAAGATAGATAAGGATGAATAGGTATGAAAACGGTAAAATCTACAAAATCACTGACATTGGATACAACAAGTGTTATATTGGAAGCACTTGCGAATGTTTATGTCAAAGAATGGCAAGGCATAGGGAAAAGTATAAGTATTATTTGAAAACAGGAAAGAAGCATGCACATGTTGTTTTTCTGTTTGATGAATTCGGCATTGACAATTGTAAGATTGAACTGATTGAAAACTACCCTGCTGAAAGTAAAGCAATGCTTCAAAAACAAGAAGGACACTACATCAAGAATACTGACTGTCTTAATAAGAAGGTTGAGGGAAGAACGCGTAAAGAATACCAAGAAGACAACAGAGAAGGAATATGTGAGAAGGGGAAAGAATGGTATGAAAACAACAAGGAATACTGTGCTGAAAAAGCAAAATTAAAAAGAGAACTATTTAATGAAAAGGTCAATGAACAATCAAGAAAAAGTTATTACAAACACCAAACTGAAATCAATGAGAAACGACGAGAACAATACAATGAAAACAAAGACAAAGTAAATGATAGGAGAAGAGAACTATATATCAACAACAAAGATGAGTTAAGTGAAAAAAAGAAAAGATTGAATGTGAATGTGGTTCAGTGATAAGAAAGGCAGATATGAGCAAACACCTGAAAACTAAAAAACACCATAACCACACCATAACTGCAACCCATAAAACTTTACAACCTATAACCACAGCATAGTTACAACCCATAAACCCAGACGTAGAAATAAAACACAACAGCAACAACAATCATCCACCTCATCTTAAAACCATCTGCCCCAGAAAAGTTAGAACCCCCAAAACCCCAGAACCCCCCACACATAAAACATCAACAGCAAGGAAAACACATTGAACATCAAAAAATCATAACAAGCAACACACCAACATAAAACAAAATTGAGAAAATGAATGAGACTAACATAGGGAAGAACCATGAAGCAAAAAATGAAACAGGTAGGGGTGAAAGTTTTGAAAAAATCCCCAGAACCCCCCACACATAAAACATCAACGCCAAGGAAATACCGTTGAAGTTCAACAAAAACACAACAGCAACAACAATCAGCCTCCTCGTTGAATATCTCTCCGAACAGAGTGATTTTTAGCACCAAATTTTCCCCAGAAACCCCATAGAGACTAACTACAAAGCCTCAACACAAATTTTAGCGAGGCAAAAAAATTCAACGAGGTGATTGATGAACAAAAAGTCCCCAGAACCCCCCTTTTACCATTTTTTCCTCCCTACTTATATACAGAAAAAGTGGGGGTTGGACGTGGTGTCCATTCTACTGGTACCTGCCGCATTTCGAGAGACGACTTCCCATGTCCTCTTGATATAGAATCTTATTGGTGCATGAAGCTCCAGATTATGCCTCACAGCCCAAATTTCACATAGATCTTGCAACATAACGAGGTCTCGCCGTGTTGCGTGCCGTGCCCGTGGTGTGTTTCGCAGTGCCCGTGGATCTTCACCAAGGCCACACCATCTGGGACGCGGATCGCGCTCCAAACGCGCCAGACCCGAGCGCTGCGCACCGCGCTGTTCCGTCATCATCTGCTGTGCCAGGCGTGGAAAAGCGGTTGAAATCACAAGCCTTTGAACTCCAATCAAAATCTCTCTTTTTGTGATATGCATGTGATGTGCATATAATTACGTACTTACGTACATGTGTATACTGTATACTTATGTATCCCATGCAATTAACGTAAACAGTTGATGAACAAACCTCCCCTCGTCCATTGGATTGGTGAAACCTCTAATCACGGGGGGCGCTTTGTTCATCAACCGTCTACATTACATGAGATACACAAGTATACATATAGTCATATAGTATGTAATTAGATGCATATCACATGGAGAGAGGGGCCTTGTTTGGATTGAGACCTTCAGGTCTCAGAAGGTGCAATCTAAATAGAGTCCGTGACAGGATCTTCCTGTAACCCGCTTCAGTGAGAAATGACTTCCCTTTTGCAAATAGGAGCCGCGATCCAAAGCGACCAATCAAGCGCTGCAGGACATGTATGGGCTCAACCAGCCCCTGTGCATATGCCAGCGCACGTGCCAGCGCACGTGCCGGTGCATTTGGTCTATCCGCCTCCGGCCCACCATCCGCACTTCTCACACGTCCAACATGGACTGGCTCCATATCCGCCCCGATGTAGCTGGAGCCACTTGGCAAGAGGGAGTGGCAAGGAGGAGTGGCATGACCCTCACGTTGCGAGGTTCGCGATCTATTACAGGTTCAACATAGCACCAGTCAAGGAGCGATGCCCAAAAATAGGCCTTCCATTCAAGAAGTCCAACGATCGCAATTCCAATGCAGCCTCGTTTGCACAACCCCCTGTTTTTGGCGCCTGGGCGACAAGCCGAGCTGCTCTCCCCCTCTACCTTGGCACCTCATGAGGGCCGAAGCCTCCACGAAGCAGCGCAGATCAGGCGCGGTGTCTCTAGGGTTGGTGGCCTGGTGTCCAGGTGTCACACCTGGAAGGGGGGATGGGGTGGCGGAGTCCGATTTGCTAGGTGACCAGGGGGGTCGTGACCCACCTGGAGTCCGACCCGTCCACCTGAGCGAGACGACAGGGGAACCCCCCGTCATGAACAACCAATGGGCGATCTCGATCTCTCTCCTCTCTCTCTGTCTCTATGCATATGTGTATAGCTGGTGTATATATATATATATATATATGTGAAAACTTCCGTAAGGTGAGTTAATTTGCACGAATGCTCCGCCGGCCACTGGCTCGATCTAGCTTCGAGGCGGTTCATGGCTCTTTGCGCCAGGTGTCACCGCGCCAGTCCACACCTGGTGCTTGGGCTGCAGCGGGTGGGAGGCGCTTGGATCCGAGCTGCGGTTCACCTGGAGCCATCCAGGACTCCGGACCATCGCCACTGACGTGGTGGTGAGCGCCGTGAGGCAGGTGCGCGCTCTGCGGGTGACTAGCGTCCTCGGATCTGTCCCTGCGGCTGCACAGGCCTCCGTCAGTACACCCGCTGCTGAGCCCTCCTCTCCTCCGGCTGGAGGGAACTCCGGGCCTGGAGGGGAGAGGACACCTCTTCCTCGCTCGCCCCGGACTGAGGCGGCCCCAGTTGAGGAGAAGAAGAAGGACAAGGGTGCGGCTGAAGAGAGCTCATACGAGCAAGAGGACGAGGAGTCCGAGGCAGTCTCTGACACCACCGTGGTAAAGCACCCCAGTCAGGTGATCACTAAGCAGGGGCTGTCCGCTAAGGCCGCGCCACCGGCTAGGAGATCCACTGAACGTCACGAGGAGGTTAAAGCTGAGGAGGAGGCAGTTGAGGAATCTTTGGCTGGTAAGGCTACCGAGCCGGAGAACTTGAAAGGCGCTTCGAGCGCCAGAGGTTCGAGGGACGTTGGACGAGAACGCCATCGACCTCGCCGTGACCCGGGACACCATCGGGAATCGAAGAGGAAGAGGAAAAGAGATCGCACTCATCGTGCAGGCAGAAAACACAAGCGGCTTCATCGGGCTGAGGCGAACCCGTACCTGCCGTTACACAGAGGACTTGACAAGTCGTACCTTGAGTTCAATTGCCAAGCCCCAAGGGAGGAGGCAATACCAGGGGCACCGCCCCGGCCGAAGAAGCGATGACGTCCTATGGAGGAGATGGAGAGCAGGAAGGTGCGGAGTCACCTTTCGGCACCTACGATGTGAGAGATTTTATGAAATGGCAAATGCTGGCGCCCCAACCAGGCAATGTGATTGTGACCACCGTGCCTGGGGAGCTGTTCGGCAGGGAGGATGTGGAAGCAGTTTTCGCAGTGGTAAACACTACACTGGCCTTCGATGCCAGCCTTTTGGTGCAAGTACGAGCTATTGGAGCCAGTCGAGAAGATGCGCTCCCGGCACTTTCAAGCTTTTTCAATCGCCGCCCAGAAGCTCTTCACATTTGCTTGAACGAGGGACCTTGTGCGGTGGAAGACGTTGTTTTCCATGTGCGTCGCCTAGAACTCTGGAGTGGATCCGGTTTTCCAGGACACCGTCTTTCAGTGGCAGGACGCAAATGGTTGAAACAGCTATTAACCCCAGGAGGGGACACCGCCGAGGACGAGGCTCATCGAGAGGAAGAGGACCCTGGCGGACGGATGGAAGACCTGACAGGTGAAGACCTGGCAGGAAAGGAGCAGGCCAAGCGGCCTGGCGTGATGAGGAAGGAGAAAGGAAAGGGCGGCATTTTGAAGACCGCCGGACCCAAGCGAAAGGCCAAGGAGAAGGCCACTGCTGAGCCCCTTCAACCGCGCAGAGAACGGCTGGAGAAGGTAAGGCAGAAGCAGCAAGACTTGGGGGAGAGGTCAGGGAGTCCGAGGAGGCTGGAGGTGCAGCCCATGCTCTGGCCGCATTGACGACTGGGACGAAGATTGGAGGCGACATGAGGCCAGCTGGCGACCGCCGTGCAGGCCTGAGCGATACATCCAAGGGGCCAAGAGGAGATATTTTGAGCGGCCACTTTGGCCACCCAAGTCGCCCAACCGGATGAAGAAGAAGACCCCCAGGCGGAGGAAGGACAAGAGAATGGACGCCTTGAAGATCCTCTTGGATGGCAAAAGGAAAAAAGAAGAAAAAGAAGGAGAAGAAGCGAAAGCGAGACGAAGATCCAGTTCGGAAGAGGAGGATTCCACAGAGAGCAGCGAAGCAGCCTGCGGCAGTTCAGAAGAGGATTTGTCATTACTCCCACCTCTAAAGAAGAAAAGCGAGAAAGAGGAGGGATCCGTGCTCGAGCTCTTGATCGCGCAGATCAAATTGCGATTAAACGAGTTAGGCGGTGCTGCGGAACACGAGAACCCAGTGTTGCAGGGGACCAGGGTCCTGACATACTGGCACACCCTCACTCATTCAGGGGGGGTGAATGCCCAGAATCGCGACGGAAGGGAGATGTTCCTTTTGGCAAATTGCATGGACTTGCTCCGCATTGGTCGCCTGGGGCGGCTGGGGGACGCCCTGGCGGCAAGGTGGTTGGCTTTGGAGCAGGCCGGGCTGGATCAAAACTGGACCGCCGCCAGGCATCTCGAGATCTTCTCTCCGGACCACACCACAGCAGCGGGGCCTGCAGTCACGCTGGCAGCTCGGAAACTTTCCCGCTTGATGGACAAGGTCACCGCAAAGGAAGGCAGGCCGCCCCGAGGACAAAAAGGAGGCCAAGGACACATCGGCCGGACCAGATCCGAGCCGTGGCAAGACAAGGGAGGAAAAGGAAAAGGTGAAGGACGCCAAGGACGAGAAATGGAGCAATTGGGGTGGCCGCGGGTCATGGGGAAAGAAGCAGTGGAAGAACCCATGGCAAAAGCCGAAGGGACAGCAGAACGAGAAAGCGGAGAAGGGCGACAAAGGAAAGGAGGAGTAGAGGCTCGTTTGATGGACGGGCCACTTTTGGATCAGACGCTGGAGACAGCTGGAAGTCTTTCCGTGCGGGGCATCAGCCTCTACTTTGAAGTTTTAATGAGAGCCTGCTGGGACGCACATTCCGCGCTTTTGCTGCGCTGAAAAATGGAAGCGTAATTCAAGGCCAGCTATCACGAGTGCTACACTCTAGGAGGCAGATTTTTCCCTTGCCCCGTTTGAACTCTGCAGAAACGATTGCAGTTAATAGAGAACTGGTGTTGGATTGTCTTCAAAATCAGTCTCAAGATTGGTTTTCGCTTGGAGTTGCATGCTGGTGCGAACTTGTGATTTTCTTTGCAAATCATTTAGCTACGGGGTGTGTGTGTTGGTCGAGTTCGAAGCCTTCAGCCGCGCAAAACGATTTGTTGGCCTCGGTTAGGATGACTGTTGAGCGTGTGTTGAAGGATGATTGCTTGATTGATTGGTCTGTGAATGACATCCGAGATGATTTTAATAAGAAGTCTGTGTCGTATAGCGGCGAGGAGGTGTGCAAAGCAGAACCTCTTTCTCTTGCAAGAATTAGGCCTGGCTTACCCCCAGAGGGGCACGGTGGCTCAATCTCTGCGGTCGACTGGGTTGGAGAACGAGCCCGAGAGCTCCTGCTTGACCCCCTTGGTTGTCTGATTCCGGATACTGGCCAACAACTCCCCAGGCTTCAAGGTAAGGTGCACATTGAGGCAGGCGACAGGTTGAGTGTGGCTCAGGAGTTGGTAAGGCGAGGAATCTGCCGTTGGACTCATGCTAGCGACGTGGCAACGTACATTCTCAACGGCCTCTTCGGAGTTCCAAAACCCAAGTTTCTGGAATCTGGTGAAAGCGTGTTGCGTGTAATTATGAACCTGGTGCCTGTGAATGCTGTACTCAAGACGATCCCAGGACGGGTCAGCAAACTACCGAACATCGCACAGTGGATGAACATTGTTTTGGACGAAGGAGAAACTGTGAGACTGGCGCAATCAGACATGGCGTGCGCTTTCTACCTTTTTGGGATGCCCGAAGAGTGGAGCAAACTGCTGTGCTTCAATGTCGGGTTTGACTCGAAGACACTAGGGTTGGCTGCTAGGACTGGTGTGGAGGATCGCTGGTTTCTATCATGTGCTGTACTCCCCATGGGCTGGAGTTCGGCCGTTGGGGTAATGCAAGAGATCGCTGAAGCTGTGCTTTTGAGTGGAGGCTTTTCCGATGTTGCTCAAATACAGAAGACCGCTCCATTGCCTAGCTGGATGATCGACTCTACTACAGAGGGGGCTAAGCGTGGTAAACCATGGTGGCACGTGTACCTGGACAACTTTGCTGGGGGGGCCAAGGTGATTGATGAATCCTGCGATGAACTTGAGTCCCTGCAAGAACAGGCTGAAGGGCTTTGGGGAGATGCAGGCATCGTGGTTTCTTCAGGAAAGTCCGTAATTGGAGCAACAAGTGGAGTTGAATTAGGGGCTTTTGTGGGAGGCTCTGGTCAGTGGATAGGAGCCAGTTGTGAGCGAATGGTGAAAATTGTCAAGAGCACATTGTGGTTATTGCTACAGCCCAGGCTGTCGAAGAAGAAACTTCAGGTCGTCATGGGCCGCTGGTGTTTTGTACTGCAATTCAGGAGACCAGGCATGTGTCAGTTTGACGAAGTGTGGAAGGAACTACATCAGCGCCAAGACTGTGGACGCCACCATGGTTGAAAAAGTACGACAGGAGTTGATCCTGGCCATTTGTGGATGCCCTCTTTTTCATACTTGGCTAGGTGCAAAAATTGATGATGTGACCACGTGCAGTGACGCAAGCCAGAGAGGTGGTGCTGTGGCTGTTTCCCGTCATCTGACAGCTGAAGGAAAGTCGTTCCTGGTTTCTCAAGAAAGGGTAAACACGCCCATGGAAGTGCCTGTGCTAGTCGTGTCTCTGTTCAATGGCATAGGTGGGGCGGCACGTTGCTATGATATTGCAGGAGTGAAGGTTCAGGCATACTTGGCATGCGACATTCACAAACCAGCAAACCGAACTATGGCCAGACGTTGGCCCGTATTTTGGGAAGATGCGCGCACCCTGACCAAGGCAAAGTTGATTGAGCTTCTGGAGCATGTTGAAGATTTCGAGGAAATTCACATGTGTGCTGGTTTTCCATGCGTGGATCTTAGCAGTGTACGTGCGAATTGATTGAATCTTGAAGGTAGATCCAGTGGTTTGATTAGAGACGCCATTCGAGTCTTTACAGCGTGTCGTGAAATATTCCCAAAGAAGGCCTCGCATTTCTTTGTGGAGAATGTCGCCAGCATGGATCAGGAGGCAAGAGATCAGATCAGTCAGTTGCTAGGTGTACAGCCTTACCGGGTTGATCCCCGAAATCAAGTCCCCAATTCCAGACCGAGATTTTGTTGGACAGATCTGGACATGGATCATTTTGAGCTACTCTCTGTTACGCAAAAGGAGGGATACAAAGAGCTGGAAGTTGAGGGCACGTGGCCACGTTGTGAACAGTGGCTTTCTCATGGATGGAGCCAAGCTGAACCTGGCGTGATCTATCCTACATTCATGAAAGCAATTCGCCGCAGTCGACCACCTCCCCGGCCTGCTGGAATCGCAAGAACCAGTGAGCAGGCAAGGGCAAGGTGGGAGAGCGAGTGCTTTCGCTTTCCCCCTTATCAATATAAAGAACAATATTTGGTGTATGACCAACAGGGTGTAGGCAGGCTATTGAAGGCTGAAGAGAGAGAGGTCTTGATGGGTTACGGCGCTGATCATACACTTTACTGCATGTCAGCTTCGGCTGCTAAGTCAAAAAAGCAAGCCTTTGAGGATGAGAGATGCAGCCTCATTGGAGACAGTTTTACCATCTGGTCATTTGTACTTTTTGCTGCTGCTAGTGTTTCCCAGTACACCAAAGTGTTTGACCCCGCGCTCTTGTTTGACAGAATGGGACTCCCCCCGGGATGTGGACTTCGCCTTCCTTTGAGATGTCCCCTACAGCGTGGTACTCTCATAGGCCTTGGAGGGGATCATTTGACAGTTGCCAACATGAACCAGCACCTTTGCGCCCGTGTGCGGCACACAGGATCAGACATCCGAATTTCTACAGGGCAAGTGTTGAACCCAAAAACAATGCCGCGCCAGTCGGTTCAGGCGAGTTGGTGGACATGGACCGCCGTCTTTAAGACGCGATGGTCACAAGAAGAACACATTAATGCATTAGAGATTCGGGCAATCTACCTCACGATCCTTTGGAAAGTATTGAGTCGGCAGCTGGTCAACCGGATGCTTTTTCACCTCACAGGCTCATATGTTGCTTTATCAATCCTCTCCAAGGGCCGGATGCAAAGTCGGAAGCTCAGGTTTATCGTTCGGAAAATAAACACACTCCTACTGGTAAGTCATGCACTTCTTCATCTAGCTCACGTAGACTCTTGCGAGAACCCTACCGATGCCGCGAGCCGCGCCTGAGCAGCTCGTCAGAGAGAGGCGAAAGCGACGGAAGGGACTCAGCCTTCATGACAGGGTTGTGACGCTGAAGACCAGGATAAGGTATTTCGTTGCTGTCACGGCCATTTTACCTGGCCTTGAGGCGACACAAGACGACATCGATGATTTCCTCATTGAATGGATTGACAAACAATATGTCAATGGAGCAAGCATTACGTCCGTGGCAGATTCACTATCCGGGCTCCACCACTACCTTCCTTGGTGCCGAGGAAAGCTCAAGGGAGCTTGGAAGCTCTATGGGGTTTGGCGCAAATTAGAGCGTCCACGCCAAGCACCACCGTTCCCCGTTGAGATGGCAATGGCCCTGGTTGGGCGATGCGTTGAAATGGAAGACCTCAGGCTGGCGCTTTGCCTTTGCCTGGGGTTTTGGGGTATGTTACGTACAGGTGAGATCTTCAGCGTCAAGTTTCGACGCCTGCTCATTGGAAGTGAAAACATGATTGTCAGGCTGGGTGACACCAAAACCGGCCTCAGACGTCAGTTGACGAGAATGTCATTATCACCGACGCACCCACCAGACTCATCGCACAGACCTTGTTTGACGTTGGTGTTTCACGGCATGAATTGCTTTGGCCCGACTCTAAAGTTACTAAAGCACAGTTTAGGCAGGCTTTTAAGAAGCTCACTGCATATTTTCATTTGAAGGATTCTTTCAGGCCCTATTCATTGCGAAGAGGAGGGGCTACGGAGGACTTTAGAGTTCATGGCCTTATGGAACGACCCCTCCTGCGAGGAAGATGGGGATCAAGTTTTGCCGCCGGGCAATATATCCAGGAAGGGCTGTCTATGCTAACCAAGCTGACTTTGCCGTCCCGGTCCCTGCCCCTCGTTGCTCATTATAAGCATTTTTTGGACCTCCATTAATTTCGGCCCAGTACTGGGGTCGTGGAAAGAGGTGCCTGAAGTGTTCGGAAGTTGTCAAATTTGACAAAGTTTTCTCCTAAACGGCTTGCCAATATAGCCGTGCCCTTTTGAGGCAAGGCCCGCAGTTGGTGGAAAGGTACAGAAACGGCTTGCCAATATAGCCGTGCCCTTTTGAG